AGTTTCCTCAGGTTACAGCCATTGTTCCTTATATGCAGGATGCTGGACCCAGAGCAGAGGGACAGTTTGCAGCGATCGTTACTCTTTCCTGGGTTTTTCTCACACTGTTGGTCTGCAGGCATCCAGTTCAAAATGTCTGGCCTGAAAAGTTAGTCCCATTTAGTGTGAAGTACTGGGTGCAGCTCTTTGGTGAAGGTTCATGTTCACAGTGAAAACATCTCAGGCTGAACCATAAGATGAGTGATGAAGAATCCTGCCCTGGACAGATGCAGATTATCTCCTTTCCTCCAGATCACATCCAGGGTGTTCTTTGGAGAACCAGGACCCTGGTTCCACAAGATGCAGATGGATGGAGATAAGACCACCATCTTCCATGATGTGGACGGCTCCATCAGTGAGTATCCTGGAGCCTTCCTGGTTAAGGAAGACAACTGGCTGCTTCGTAACCCTGACTGCATCGATGTGCCTGACTGGAAGGCTGCCATCTGCAGCGGCCGCTATGCTCAGGTAGGTCTGCCTCACGTCTGAAGGGCTTTAGGTTGTCCCTCTGAGATGCTGGTTGTCAGGGTCTGGGTGATGGAACACATGCTAGAACCTGCATCATCTTCCTCTCCTGCCATGTCTCCTCCAGGTCTACATCCAGGCACGGAAACCTGCCGACCTGAACATCCACATAGTGAGGAATGAGTATCCTGACAGGCCCCTGACACTAGAGGGCGCCTTAGGCAAGAGGAAACACTACCAGCAGTTCCAGCCTGTGGTCTCACTGGCCAAAGGTTACACCGTCCACTGGGACCAGGCTGCTCCTGCAGAGCTCACCATCTGGATCATCAACTTCAACAAGTTAGTGCACCCTGACCTCTTCTCTGGCCTTCCAGTGGGTCGTCCTCAGAGGCCTGAGAGCAGCCGGCCCATCTGTGGACGGATAGCAGAACTTAACTCCAGACTCAGTTCAGGATATATATACACTGGCTGATCAGACCATTGACACAATAGGGCTAATTCCAACTAAACAAACAATCACAAATTACAAACCAAAGCAGTACAGTTAGATTTGATAATAAACCAATCTACATCTTAGAAAAGAGAAAACACACCAACTGCAAAACAAATCCTAAGTGAAAAATGCAAAAATGTAAATTCAAATTCCCCCCTTCTAGGAACAGCTGATGGAACAGTCCAATATCCCCTCCTGTATTTAACAGATCTGAGCCCTGGCTGCCATCTTTTGTCTGGCCGAACTCCTAGGCACCATAGAAGCTAGAAAAAAGATTAGTGATAAAAACAGAAAGAAATATGAATGAGTGTAAAAAAAATACAGTGAACTAAATGTGCGCACTTACAAATAGAACAAAGGTATTTGAATTAAGTGTGTATGGATTAAACAAATAAAGGTGCATGTATAGTCCGGACTTAAGGTGTGGACATGGGTTTGGATGACGATCAGGAGGTAACATTCCGTAAAATATGCAGTTAGCACAGCAAAGGTCTGTGCTTTTACTTTAGTCCCTCTAGTAACGAAACACAGTATTACAAGAACAAAGACTTTGATCATTTTGTCTTTAAAATGAATTTCTTATAAGAAGTTATTAAATTGTCTGAACATATTTAACTGTTAACTGGTGATAGATATTTAAATGTGGGACTTCAATGTGGAGCTGGGAGGCAGAAGGAGGATACGAGGAAACACCCAAAGACTGTCGCTGTCTACTGGATAGACCATTGCTACCAATGGAGAGAAAGATTAAAGCTATAAAACTAATTTGGACCATCTTTAGAGTCTGCTATGTTAGCAGCTTCACCTGAGCTTACTTTGTTATGGTGAGATTATTCAGGTGGTTAGAGGGAGGAATAAATCCAACATGGCTGCTGCTTCTGTCATTCAGTTTAGTTTATTTCTGTCGCTTCAACACAAAATTGTTAGACAGACTTTTAACCAGGTCAATCAGTCAGGTCACAGGTTGCTCAAAGCTTGAAAACCAGCCAACTGCATCCAGTCAGCGGCTTTAGGTGCTGTTCCTCCAAGAATGTGTTTTTCTTTTTTTTTCTGGGTACAAATCATCAAAGATGTCCTTCAGATCAGAGTTGGATCCATGACTCATCCAACCAGACTCAGACTGGGAACAATTTTCCGCCCTGGCATATTTCCATCTACAATGGCCCACCTATGGACCCATCCCCCGGCGGACACTGCCCACAGAGTCCCAGATGTTGAAGTCCAGGAGACCGGAGAACAGGCAGGAGGATAAGAACCTAACAGACGAAGGCAGGCAAGATAATCCAGAGGGCAAAGCCAAAGTCGGTGTCGAGGACATGCCCCAGATTCAGAGCCAGGAGATCAGAGATCCGAAGAGGTACTAAAGGGAAATCCAGGATGTGTCATGAATCAGTTCTAGGTTTAGTCAACAGGCAGAATCCAGAAGGAGACTGAGGACGGGTCAGGCAAACAGATCCAAACAATAACAGAAAGGCTCAGAGGTCCAGAGGCAGAACAGGTCAGGATCAAGCAATCAGACACACTAAGGTACACTAGAGAACTCTCACCAAAGGCTCCAGTAATCTGGCACTGATGACTGGTCTGAAGGTTGGTTCAATAGAGACTGGAGCAGGTGGATCAGATGAGCGGTAATGAGAACTGGGCGGAGCTAAGCAGGTGAGTGAAATGAGTAATCCGACCAGTCGTCATCTTAAGTCTGTTATGATGTGTACCGCAGCCTACAGTGTTAGCTTATTGACCCCTTGTTTGTCTGTCACCTTCTCTTCTTTCTTGTTTCCTGACACAACAAAGCCAAACTGCTCCTACAGCTCAGATTTAAAAGCCACTTATGCCACCGTCTGCCATGTTTGATTTTCTTGTGTGCTCTGTGCTCTCCGTTAGGACGAAAGACCTCAAAGGATCATGGTCTTTGTAGTTTAGCATTCTTTGTTCTGCTAGAACACTCATGTGGATCCAAATTACCTACTGTCATTGGTTGACATGCTGTGGTTTTATTGCAGAAATGACTGGATCAGTCTGGGCCTCTGCTACCCACAAGGCTCCACCTTCACAATCATCGCTGACATTCACAACCGCCTCACCAAAAAGACGCACAAGACCGGCACCTTTGTGAGGACAGCTCAGAAGGAGAAGATCAGCCAATCGCAGCCGAGCAGAGGCTACTACTACTGGGAGGAAGAAACCGGGTCAGAAATAAACACTGGGGCGCCTGCTAGCACGCATCTATTAGCTTATTTACATCCTAGAACTTCTCTGTTTGCCTCAGTGCAGCTGTTCCTCCTGACTCACTATGGCTGCCTTTCAACTGACCAACAGTCTATCACAATAAGTTTAAATCAAGTTTTGATCAACAATCAGCTTGTTATTAATGCGTAACAAAACTAACTGATTTGAGGAGAGTTCTTGTTATTAATTTGTAATTAGGAATGATTAACCTCTCACCTGGGATTTGAGAGTTTTGAGTTTTCAGAATAACTCAGAATACATGAAAATTCCACTGGTAAAATGTTTACCATTACTGATTCCTGATCCGTAATGATCTCTGATCCGTAATGATCTCTCATCCATAATGATCCCTGATCCGTAATGATCTATGATCCGTATGATCTTTCATCCATAATGATTCCTGATCCGTAATGATCTCTCATCCGTAATGATCCCTGATCCGTAATGATCCCTGATCCGTTATGATCCCTGATCTGTAATGATCCCTGATCCGTATGATCTCTAATCCATAATTATCTCTGATCCCTATTGATCCCTGATCTATAATAATGTCTGATCCGTAATAATCTCTGATCCGTATGAACTCTGATCCGTAATGATCCCTGATCCATAATAATCTCTGATCCGTAATGATCCCTGATCCGTAATGATCTCTAATCTGTAATTATCTCTCATCCGTAATGATCCCTGATCCGTAATTATCCCTGATTCGTAATGATCTCTCATCCGTAATGATCTCTGATCCGTAATGATCCCTGATCCGTAATGATTACTGATTCGTAATGATCCCTGATCAGTAATGATCTCTAATCTGTAATTATCTCTCATCCGTAATGATCCCTGATCCGTAATGATCTCTCATCCGTAATGATCCCTGATCCGTAATGATCTATGATCCGTAATGATCTCTGATCCGTAATGATCTCTCATCCGTAATGATCCCTGATCCGTAATGATCCCTGATCCGT